AAACGTCCTCTCGATTACTTTATATGTCTGGTGCAGGTGAAGTAATTGACAATAAAGCTGACTTTGCCTTTTGACTTTTTTGATCTATAAAAATGCTCGCTACAGTTTCCCACAGCTGAAAGTGACGTCTTCAAATTGCCTCTTTTATCCAACTAAAAGTCAGAAATCTAAAGACTCTTCTTACTATCGTAAATGAGAAAGAAACCAACTAATTGTTGAGGCTCTACAGCTTTAAATCCTCTTTCAGCTTGCTGGATGGCTTGTGACACATTTGAATAATTAAACCATTTATGTAGCAAAACTGTAATCTCGACCCCCCGATAAACAACAGACCACTTATTTGACTCAGACCTGGTGTGAAAACACCTCGTGCATTTGCTTAAAATCACAAAAGGTGGAGGCTCGTCCAGGTGTGCGCGTGATCCTGACTCACCTGGCAGGACCTGAGGCAGCCACGTGAGCATCCAAACGAGAGCAATCATGACAGCCAAACCATCTCTGCCGCACTGCCATGAGCCCCTGGAGCAGTCAGCACACCTCTCTGGACTGCTTTCACTTTCCCTACCAACAACCTGCCATCACAAACCTGGAGTTAGTATCACAGAGACATGTGAAATCACACCTGGCATGCAATATTCACTTGAAAGTCAAATATGAGATAAATGAGTTATTTTCCACTTGCATAATGTCTGACAGTTACTACTACTGTAAATAAGCTTAGTCACAACTTGTACTTCAGCTTAAAAATGGAACATTATGTAAAGTTAACACCTAATAACTCTTTTACTGTACATATTGTATATTTAGCACATTTTATTGTCTATTTTTTCCTTCCTTATTTCTATATATATATATATCCTATTTGTAATATTAATACTATATTTATTGTTATGCACAACAAATGCAAATTTCCTTGTATTTGAAAGACGTTACAATATAACTTTAACCACTAGATGCAAAAATACTTTCACTTTGTCTTTACTGTACCGGGTTATATTAGCTCAAAACACCCAGTTTAACGTCCCTGTAACGAGAAAACACTTGTATAAAATACCGTTAACTGTGGTAGAGAGAAAAAGCAACGGGTTTCTAACATTATTATTTATCTCCAGACAGCACACACTCGCCGGAAGTGTAACTTAGGGTACTTACCGCTAACGTTAACCGCTAGCTGACATCATTATCAGCATATAAACTCACCAGCGAGTAAAACGCTTTCACAAAGAGGCTGGAAAGTGTCTGATATTGCTGCTAACTTACCCATGTTGAGGAGAGTTTGCATGTTTATCAGTGAGTTTCAGTGGCAGACAATCACAGAGGAAGACTCCCACTCAATGTGAGCGAACAGTACAATATACAGCTGCTCCTGCTGCCTTCACGGAACCCCGGTGAACTGGGAACTCACGCTTTTTACAACGCGGTGTTGTTGTTTTTTTTGCACATTGCCTGTTCAGTAAATAAAATATAAAATACTGATAGATTTGCAGGTTTTTTTTTGTAGATCCAACGTTGTATGGGGGAGTTGCTTTTATTCTGAATATTCATAGGTGTGTTTTCATTCGTGTTTAATCGCTGTAATGTGAGAATTGTTTTAGTTACCCTAGAATAAGTCACTTTTATCTACAGATGCTGTGGGTCGCCCTCCACCGAGCCCACCATGTTGAACCGCCATGTTTCTACAGTAGCCCAGAACAGACAAACCAAAAAGCAGGCTGTCGATAGGGTGTTTTGCATTATTTTTTCGCAGCCACCGTAGTGTCTCCTACAGACTTCACAGCCCGTTCTCATTCCCAGGTCGTCAAATACCAGCAGTGTTCAGTTAGATGCAATCTGCAACTTCACACACAACATAAAAAACATGACACCCAACTAATTAGAATTAGAATAAGGATCAGCTGTTGCATAGTAACAGATAGATATGCTTTAATAAACAGCATTCAATCTCCACCTGTACTTAAAAAGACTACCCTGCTTTTGCCCCTTAACAGTCATGTTTTTTCTGATTTTCGGGCAATACAGAAAACATCATCACGATTGGTATTTTGCAGCTTTGGGTGGCTTTTATGCTGACTGTAGAGGTAATGGGGATTTGTCTGGCAGGTTCCTGAAGGCAGCACCTGACGAGGCTGATGATAGGAAATCATGTGACCGGCAGGAGTAGAGAGGAGCTCACAGGGAGGGAGGGGGGAGTGCACCATCTTCAATTACTCAATTGTTTGCCAGGCAGGGAGGCAGAAACACCGAAACTTGAACTACTCACGTGAAATTCTGACTCATAAAAAATTATAAAAATAGAAAATAAGTCTTATTGTTGGATCTCAACAAACAAACACACAAACGACAAATTTGGAATATAATTTTTCTACCTGTACTGTCGATGTGTTTTGTTTGGGGATTTATAATATATATATATATATATATATATATTGAGGCCAGTAAGTTATGGCTCAATAACAACAATTTATTTGAAATTCTTGTGCAAATGTATAATAGGCTTTAAGTTCTATGAAAGCCAAAGTTGGTTTGTGACAATATTCATGTACTTTACTGAAAAAATAGTCAGAACTGTTGTTTTAGCAATAGTAATGTCAGTGAGATTTAGATTTAGAGCTCAGGAAATATTAAATCATCCACATGTGGTACCATCCTGAGGTGAACTTTAACTTTCCCTTACACAGACTGCTTTGTTTAATAGTGGTTATGAAATAAATAACCCTCTGAGCTGTCTCTTGTTACGGAAATCCAGTGACATTTATTTTGGAAACTTGATGTCTTTGAGAAACAACCACATTTTATCCGCCTGGCTCTCAAACTGTGCAATAGTTGGGAGTTTCGCCCACATCCTCCGACGCCATCCAACTACACTCATGTTTCCAGGATAATTCAAATGCTCATGTGCACTTCCATCATCATCTCCAGAAAAATAATTATGTGTTCAATTATTTTTTAACCACTTTGCCCGATTGGGTGATCCCAACATGATGTTTTTTTTCACCCCAGCTAAATGGGAAATCCTTATTGTTAAGCCCTGATCCATCTTTGCTCACTGTATATAAGCCTTTCCCACCCTCAGGTGTGCGTAAACTGCAGGTTATGAACTTCTTTTAAACATACAAATTGGGAAATGATCAGTTATCTTGTCGGTATTGACCATGAGAAGCAGGTGATTATCCATTATCGTATCGTACACACCCTAGTTTTGGTCAGAGAGTAAACACATTACATAGTTAAAATGCAGGACACATTCACATTATATAGGATGGATGGTAGAGATGGGAAACTAGTAACTACATTACCCACAATGCATTCATGCCATCAGACAACTGGAGATGGTTGTTTGATTGCATTTAATGAAAGATTTAACAAAAGCACAGTTGTAAATATTAAAATAATGGCTGAATTCCATTCAGCTGCTTCAGTATATCACTGTCCCACTGACAGTAAAGGAGCCAGATTCCCTCGTCAAACTGTGTGCTGTTAAAAATAATTACATAACTTAATTATATCTATTTATATATTATAACATTGAACATTCACAAACTTTCTCTAACCAGTTTGTTTCTTTCACAGTCACAATTAGAACTTTCTTTAATAAGTCAGAAACTGATAGCTCTAGCAACTCCAATGTGAGATGCCTGTGGCGTTATCCTGCTGGTTTTACTTTACATAGGGTGACTCGACATGTAAATATAACGTGCTGTGAGCCAGGACAACTTGCAAAAGTAAACAAAACAACGAGAAGACTGACAATGAACAAGAACGAGGCCCTCGAAGAAGACATACAGTCCAGACTGTAAGGACATACTACCTCAGACTGATACTGAGGTATTCCAGCATTAACATCACACATTTATAAAATGCTGCTTGTTGACAACAATCGCCTGACTTAGAAATGTGTATCAAAAATAAGTTGATGCAGATAAAAAACATTTATTTTTAAAAATTGTATCACTTAATAACTTTAAAAATGCAGGTGGCTATAAAGGTGCTATAGCTGCAGAGAAAATGTATTGATGACTTGAGTCTTTGCCTTTCCTTAAAAATAGGAAAATAAGACCACAAAAAACTAACCCTATTCCTATAATACTTTTCCTTTAATAAAAAGGAATGTACCTGCTGGGAGGAGATTCATTAAAGGACCAGTGTGTAGGATTAGGCAGCATCTTGCGGTGAGGTTACAGAGTGCAACCAACTGAATACTCCTCGCCTCACCCTCCCACTCCAAGCGTGTAGGAGAAACTACGGTGGCCGAGAAACTTCCATAAGGTCCTACCTAGAGCAGAATTATTATAGTTTTATGTTTTTAATTTAAATTTTTGTTTTAAATTCAGTTTATATACATTGTTTAAAAATCTTTAGTTTGTATTAGTTTTCCTTTTTTTATTATAATATGGGGGGTGTTATTTTTAGATTTAAGAAGTTCAGAATAAGTATCATAATACAAACACATGACTCACAGTCACGCCTGCTGCGTTGACAAATTAGACCAAATTGACAAAGACCGAAACTTAAGACATTTCCTGCATTTGTATTGTTTAGTTTCTTACACAATATTGTTCAAGTTAGTTTTTTTCTTTTTTATACAAACGGCTCATTCTAAGGTATATTCAGGTGATTATAC